GGGGTTGGGGCCGGGCCGCGGTGCCCTGTCCCGCTTTGCCGGCCTCTCCTCTGGCCGGTGCTTTGCCTCGGAGCGTCGGGCGCGGTGCTGAGCGCCGTGACTCGGGCTGGTGGTCCTGCTGGGTGACCTCTAAATAAAGAGAAGGGTTAAATCCTAATTAGAGAACTGAGAAAACAAGCAAATCCTCATTAGATTTTTTATGTGCTAACGTTTCCTTCCTCTTCAACCGTCCTCTTTTTTGTTCTTAGGGAAAAACAGCCTCTGATGGCTTCCACAGCTGCTGCCCAGCCTGCCAAGAACACGGTGGCCTCTCACGTGCCCTTTGGAGATCTCTGCTCCACCCTGGAGAGAATGCAGACGTGCAAATCTCGCCCAGAGAAGACCAAGTGTTTCAGGGAGTTCCTGGATTCCTGGAGGAAATTCCACCATGCCCTGCATCAGAAAGAAAAAGAGGTGACGGATTCGTTTTACCCAGCCATGAGACTTATTCTCCCCCAGCTGGAGAGAGAGAGGATGGCTTATGGGATTAAAGAAACCATGCTTGCCAAGCTCTACATCGAGCTGCTGAATTTACCAAAAGATGGGAAAGATGCTGCAAAGCTCTTAAATTACAGGACACCCTCTGGCTCCCGGGGAGATGCTGGAGATTTCGCCACCATCGCCTACTTTGTCTTGAAACCCAGGAGCCCAAAACGAGGGAGGCTGACCATTGAGCAGGTCAATGAACACCTGGATGCAATAGCCAACAACAATGCTGCGAAAAACAAGGGGCTGTTAAAGAAAAGCCTTCTGCAGTTAATTACCCAGAGCACAGCTCTGGAGCAGAAATGGCTCATCCGCATGATTATCAAGGATCTGAAGCTTGGTGTCAGCCAGCAGACCATCTTCTCCATTTTCCACCCCGATGCTGCTGAGCTGCACAACGTCACCACAGATCTGGAAAAAGTCTGCAGGCAGCTGCACGACCCCTCTGTCTCCCTGAGTGATGTCTCCATCTCCTTGTTTTCTGCCTTCAAACCCATGCTGGCTGCTATTGCCGACGTGCAGCAGATTGAGAAGCAGATGAACCACAGGACATTCTACATAGAGACTAAGCTGGATGGGGAACGGATGCAGATGCACAAAGATGGAGATGTGTATAAGTATTTTTCCAGAAATGGCTTTGACTACACTCAGCAGTTTGGGGCTTCCCCCCTGGATGGGTCATTAACACCTTTTATTCATCCTGTCTTTAAGAGCCACGTCCAAAATTGCATCCTGGATGGTGAGATGATGGCTTACAACCCTGAGACACAAACCTTCATGCAAAAAGGGAACAGATTTGACATAAAAAGGATGGTGGAGGACTCTGAGCTGCAGACCTGCTTCTGTGTGTTTGATGTCTTGATGGTTAACGATGAGAAATTGGGGCACGAAGTGCTGAGCAGGAGATATGAAATATTAAACAGTGTGTTCACCCCAGTGACAGGCAGGATACAAGTTGTACAGAAAAAAAGTGCCAGAACAAGAAAAGATGTGATTGATGCTTTAAATGAGGCCATAGATAACAGGGAGGAAGGGATTATGGTGAAAGATCCCACGTCCACCTACAAGCCTGACAAGCGTGGGGAGGGCTGGTTAAAAATCAAGCCAGAATATGTCAACGGGCTGATGGATGAGCTCGACCTTCTGATTGTTGGTGGCTACTGGGGGAAGGGCTCAAGAGGTGGGATGATGTCTCATTTTCTCTGTGCTGTGGCAGAGACACCTCCTCCCAACCAAAAACCCACCGTTTTCCACACCATCTGTCGGGTTGGCTCTGGCTATACCATGAAGGAGTTGCAGGATCTAGGTTTGAAACTGGCTAAACACTGGAAGCCCTACCAGAGGAAGGACCCTCCCAGCAACATTTTGTGTGGGACTGAGAAACCTGAGATGTACATTGAGCCTTGCAACTCTGTCATCGTTCAGGTCAAGGCCGCTGAGATTGTTGCCAGTGACATGTACAAAACTGACTGTACTTTGAGGTTTCCACGGATTGAGAGGATAAGAGAGGACAAGGAGTGGCACGAGTGCATGACTTCAGACCTGCTGGAGGATCTCAGGAGGAAAGCAGAAGGGAAACTGGCATCTAAACACCTTCATATGGATGAGAACGAGGAGCCACGGGAGAAAAAAAGGAGAACGGTGCCAAAGGTGAAAAAGATCATTGGGATTGCTGAGCAGTTTAAAGCTCCTGATCTTTCCAGTGTGAACAAGGTTTCCAATATGTTTGAAGATGTCGAGTTCTGTGTTATGACAGGAACAAGGAATTACTCCAAGGCTGAGCTGGAGAGCAGAATAGCTGAATGTGGTGGCAGCGTGGTGCAGAACCCAGGGCCAGAGACTTACTGTGTCATCGCAGGGGCTGAGAACCTGAGGGTGAAGAACATCATCTCCTCCAACAGGTACGACGTGGTGAGGGCAGAGTGGCTCCTGCAGTGTTTCCACAGCAAAATGCTGGTGCCTTGGCAGCCAGCCTGCATGATTCACATGTGTCCTGAGACAAAGGAGCATTTCGCCCGGGAGTACGATCCTTATGGAGACAGCTACACTGCAGACACAGACCTGGCCCAGCTCCAGGAGGTGTTCTCCAGGATGAAAGACAAGAAGAGGATGTCTTTGGACTCCATTGTGGAGTTAGAAGAACGTTATTCATGGAACAGCTGCCAGCTCAGCATATTCAGAGGCAGCACTGTCTATGTGGACTGTTATGCTGTTGTCAGCCAGCCCAGAACCAAAATCCATGGCACAACACTATCAACCAGAGCTCTGGAGCTCCGTTTTCATGGGGCAAAAGTAGTCTCTTGCCTTGAAGAAGGGGTCTCCCATGTTGTCATAGGAGAAGATCATTCCAGGGTGAAAGAGTTGAAAGCACTCAGGAGGACATTTGGGAAGAAATTTCAGATTGTGTCTGAGCTGTGGGTAACAGAGTCAGTGGAGGAGGGAGTCTCCAAGAGTGAAAATCAGTATTTAATTTAAATTAAAGTAGTTTTTAAGCTTGGAACAAAAGCATTATTGTGGGTGTGATTGGACTCAGGGATGATGAGATTGCCTTCATTCTTTTTGTCTGGTTTTATGTCTTTAAAGCTCACTCCAGCTGAAGAATAACATTGTATTGTTGAAATTAGAGGAAGGCTTTTAATTAGCAAGAAAAACCACCCCAAGGTAGATGATCTAAGCCTTTAACTTCACAAACAGATCTCAGGAGAGATCGAGGGTTTTATGGAAGAGAATTCCCAGCTGTTAGTGGTGCTTGCCTCCATTATTCAAAATGGAGACAATGATTTAGTATTTTATGGAGATTTTACTATTTATCATGTTTATTTATCAATTGGCAATGGCATTCACACTTTTGTGGGATTGTTTTGTGCCTAGAATTCATTTATTTATGAACCTTGTCTGTACTATTTTAATCTGTTTACATTTGTTTGGGCGTCGAGCCCCTCACAGCCTCAGCAGCACTTTGATTTTAGGATATTGCATTAATCCCCTGTTATTTTTGTGTAAATATCCCTTGTAAAATAGAACCTAAACTTCTGATTGACGTGCTAATGAATTCCTAATGACCTGTGTGTCTCTAATATACAAATTAATTACCTAAAAACTGTCATGTGCTCATTACAGTTAAACCATGAAGTGCCACAGGGCACTTTTACACCTCAAGCTTTTAACTTAACTAAAACCTTTGAAGCTTTTACACTTACCTATCAGTTTAATCTGTCAAAAAATGTTTTATGAACTATTTCCAAATACCCAGTTTAATGTGTATTTTTTGTTTAAATTAATAAATAAAATCTATTTTTGAAGTCTGCCTGTTTTTTAGGGGTGGGTTTGGTGTTTGAAGTCTGCCTGTTTTTTGGGGGTGGGTTTTTTTTTTAGAGAGAGAGAACTGTTTTCAAAAGCACAAAACTTAGTTTCTGATTTTATTCTCCTATAATTTGTGCCTTAATTTTGATTGGAGAAAGGTTGAGGCCTCAGTTCTTGGTGTGTCAACACTGGAATCAACCAGAACTACTCTTGAGCTGCTCACACAGAACCAGTTTTTGGCTGAGCTATTTCTTCAGTGCTTTTTGTGATTGTGCTCACAAACAATTGCTGTAAAAATACTTGGGAAATGTGATATGAAAGGCTGCTTGGAAGGACCTTTATTCTCCCCTCATAATTAGGGTAAATATTAGGAGCTCCCTTATTATTTGAAGTACACTAACTAGGTAAAATGTGATAACCACTTTTCTTAAGGCACCATTCAAATTGTTGAAAAGCATTTTTTGCCCATGTAAAAAAGCATATGCTGAAAGTGCATTATTTTTCTTCTAATAATTGAAGTAGAAAATTGGTATAGAGGAAATAGAATACTTCAGTTTTAACTTATTTGGCTGCTTCTTTGGAATGTGCCTTCTGATTTATAAATAGAAAATGAGAAGAGAGTTTGTCTTCATAGCCACACAGATTAATCTTAAATGGATTTGAGTAAAATACATATTTTAGGTGTTCCTAGTTAAAAGAAAGGGGCAAATATGAATTAATGTCTCTGGAGGCATTGTCAAACAACTCACTTATAGATCTAAGTGTTCTTTACAGAGATATGTTTTAAAAGTATTGATTCCATGTTGTCTTTTTGTTGTCTCAAAGCTATGCAAGGTCTGGGGAATCTAGAAGTAGTAAATTACCAGCAAAATTGCTATTTTTCTTAAATTGTTATTCTTTTTACTGACTCCTCAGTTACACAGCTAAAGGTTTAATTTTATATTTATTGAAACTTTATTTAAATTTGAATTTTAATTTTTAAATTTTAAATATTTAAATTTTATATTTGTTTAAACAAAAAAATTAACCCCCCTTGCAGATGCACTCTGCTGATTTAGCTTGTTTTCTGCTGTATTTTGCACTGGTTCTAGTTAGAACTAGAAATTCATTGTTAATCAAGGGCATTTATTTGTGGCATGGTAATTAGGTGACTGGATAATGTCAGGCAATTTAGCTGGCATGTAGTTCTTTTGGTTACTGTATTGCAAATTTATCTTTACTTTAAAATGTTGAATAAGAGGGGCTGTAATAGGTCAGTGTAAAAAGAGAATCTTGCTACTCCACCTCTAAAATACAATCTATTAGCAGGTCAGGTTTTATTTTGAGATATTTCTTCTGCATGGCCACTGAAGTGGGTGGGACTGTGTGGATCTGTGGACAAAGCTGGGTCCAGATTTAATTATATATGTAGATTACAATCCAGGGAACAGGAGAATCCAGGGAAGAAGTGTGTGAATCTGCTCAGTTTTAAGGAAGTTCTGATTTGTACTGAAGGGCAAGTGAATGCTGGAAATAATTTGAAAAGAGTATGTGGTCTGGTCACAAGTTTTTTTCTTGAAAAGACAAATTAATTAAGGAGCTATGCAGAGAATTTCAGACAATATTTGTGGGTCGCAGAGCTGATGTGGATTGACAAAGTGTCTGTGTACAAAAAACCTCCATCTCTTTGTTCTAATAAAAAAGGTATTTTTTTTACAGAGAACTATAAAATAGTATAAAAAATAAAGGCTACAGAATTAGCCTTTATTATTAGTTAATCACCATCCATTAAAACTGTTCAAGAAGGAGGAAACAGCTGGAGCCAAAATGCTGAAATGTTAACCTGATGTTTGAACATCCAGAGTACATTCTGATGAGAAAACAGCCTATTATATTTTTTACTGCAATAATTACTCCAATTTTCTTAATTACACTTAGATCTTTGAAAATAGGGGGTTTGTAGGGGAAGATTCCTTAGTTTATTTACATTTTGTCTAAAGCTATATATTTTTTTTCAATTAAATAGGCACTTGGCTTGAGAGCAAGCCTTCTGATTTGCTTTGTAATATAAAGCTTTATTTGAAGATGATATTCCTGAAGAAATGGAAAGAGGAAGAAGAGGGAAAGGGGCTGAAGATGTTTCAGTTTGGAGGAAGCAAAGAAAAGTTTTTTGGTCTTTTTAGGTACTGCTTGAAAGGGTCATTAACGAGTTAAATGAAAAATTGGTCGCTAGAAATAGTGTTTTGCATAAAATGGAATGAAAAAATCATTGTTAAACAATACAACCCATCCTCTTTTAGTTATATTTATAGAGAATTGGTTA